AACAGCATAAGTTGTGCTTGGGAATTCCTGTGAACATATGAGCCTGCTTTTCAGGGTGATGGGTCCATGTAGGTCGGTACTGACTGGCAGAGGCTCTCAAGGCTTTTGGGCAGAGAGAGGTCTTTCCCAGCACCTCCTCCTACCTGCAAGAATTCCTCTGGAAGACTGAAGCTGGGACATCATGTACACTTTAGCTATGGCCAGTGTGATGCACTGACTCGTGTTGGATAAAACACCTGGATTCACACACACACACACATACACACACACACACACACGGGTCATGAAGCTCACTGGGGATACAAAGGTGGGGATAAAACAGCTTTCTGATTAACCACTGCCTACTTGAAGCAACAGAGCTGTATGGCTCAAGTGGTTAAGACGCTGAACTGCAGGCTGTGGAAGGTCAGTAGTTCAGCAGTTCGAGACCCGAGTGTGCCGCATGACGGAGTGAGCTCCCGTCTCTAGTTCCAGCTCCTCCCACCCTAGCAGTTCGAAAGCAAGAAATTGCAAGTAGATAAATAGGTACCACTTCAGTGGGAAGGTAACAGCGTTCCGTATGCCTTGGTGTTTAGTCATGCTAGCCACATGACCACGGAAATGTCTTCGGACAGTGCTGGCTCTTCGGCTTTGAAACGGAGATGAGCACCGCAACCCTAGAGTCAGGTTTGACTGGCTTCGAGCAAGGGAACCTTTACCTTTTTACCTGAAGCAACACTGGTTGGGTCATCCCAAGGCAAGCAGGCCGCAAGGGTTATACTTGTTCAGTCAAAAACAAATCACTTTGCAACCTGATTGGAAATAATTAAGCAGAGCTTCTTACCAGACGCAGGCTACACTATGGAAGGTCAACCTTAATATGCAACCTGAACAAGTGGATAGCTCAGCGTTAGCAAACTTTCCAGGGAAAAGCCCATAGCTAAATGGCAAAGTTCATGTGTGTTATTGTGCTGTCAGGAGATGTACAGACCAAGAAGGAATTGCTTCATTTCTCCATTAAACTTTGTTGGTCTCAAAAGGTGCCACTGGACTCAGACTTTTTTCATTTCTCCAGCAAACCATGCTGTTAAAAGCCATCTGATGGAGTTTCCCAGTCCTGCTCTCATTTTCTCATGTAATTCACAGCACTTATTGGTTGTTCTTCAGAACAATGGTCATGCACTGTTGTTAGCCAACTTGCCTTGAATTATTAATTCATTTAGGGGAAGTTATGATTATTAATTGGCATTAGGCAAATTAGGGTTCTCACCAATGTATACAGAAGTCCCACCTTTGCTGTAAGTATCTGAACAAACACAGAGACTAGATTCAGTAAAATATAATGACTCTTTTTACTGAGATATATATATCATTCAAACAATACACAACCACACACACATTTATACATATGCTAGGAAATATAGATCCTTAACACAGTTGCTTTAGCAGGATATTCGTTGGTTGGGCAATATTTACCTGTCTTCATTAGTTGAGCCGTTCCAATGGAAGAATGGAGGAGTTTAGAAATAGAAAATGGTGAACATGTGCTCTGAACCAGCAGAACCACGTGGACTCTAGCTGCAGACTAGAGGTTAAAGATGGAGGTAGGGTATGTGGATAGTAAGCTGGACATAAGAGGGTTAAAGCTTTCATAGGGGTCGTGGCGGGGGTAAGAGAGGGACCGTGTGGTCGGGCAGCATCTTTTATAACCTGGTGTGGGGAGGCAGGCTAGGCTGGCCACATCCCCCTGTGACACCTCATGTTAGTCCGTCCCACAAAGCATACTATTGGCTGGCAGGAAGAGGGGAGGGGGACTAAGGAGTGGTCAATATTGAGAGCTAGAAACTTGGTCTGGGGACTGGCACCTGGATGAAGTGTGATTGAATCATCAGGCTAGGGCTATTGTCTCTTGATGGCCCTAGCCCTGGCTGATGGGTGAGCCATTAGTTGCTATTCAACCATGAATAGAGTCTCTTGATTAGATTTGTAGGTAGCTGGAAGAGAGGGGGGGAAGAGAAGTTGCCCACATGTGCTGGAAGAAGTTTCTAATGGCGCCTGGAGTTCTCGTGTTTTTCCATGGCATGGCATCTGAGGCTTGGTGCAGGCTTATGGAACTGCTTCATCTCACAGCAGGCAAGATGGATGGTGACTATGGACTATCACTGTAGCAACACTAAAGGAAGGCATCCCTTTCTCAGGTGTGCAGTCTCAACAGGTATTCTCAGGTCTCCATGTTATACAGTCCCTTTGCACAGTTCATATTTCATAAAAACACATTGATAGGCTTGCATAGCAACACTGTCACATTGTGGTTTTACACATTTCTCCCATATGGTAGTTCAAACATACCCATGCTTACCATTGTCTGTGAAGAATGTGGTTCTATTACTAACATATACATCTACTACAGTACCAACCAACCACCTTCCCACCTACTGATGTGAAAGCCCAGGGGGGAAAGACTGACAAAAGGAGATTGGATTTATACCCTGCCCTTCACTCAGAGTCTCAGAACGGCCTACAAACACCTTTCCCTTACCCTCCCCACAACAGACACCCTGTGAGGTATGTGGGGCTGAGAGAGCTCTTTCCAGAACTGTCCTTGAGAGAACAGCTTTGACAGAACTATGGCTTGCCCAAGGTTATCCAGCAGCTGCAAGTGGAGTAGGGAATCAAATCCAGTGCTCCCAGATAAGAGTCAACGCACTTAACCTCTATACCAAAATGGAGAACCAAGAACTTCTCACAAAGAATGTGTAGATCGTGTAAGATGACCGACATTAGATTATCCCTGTGTATGCATACTATTCCCATAATTATGCTATAGGATATTTTGTAGGATTATGTAGGATAATACACTACTGAAGATTTAATTGCTGTAAAGTTTAAACTTGATATCTAAATATGCTACTATTGTCACTGTAGGAGACTGTTTCTTCAAATACTTTTACTACAAAATTTGTTTCTATTTTCAACCTTCCTACCTCCAGATGGCAAAAACTAAGATATGTACGCAAGGATAGCACGGGGTGCTGGAGTCTGCAGCTCTTCCTCAAGTGCTGAGGGGTTGGTTGGTTGGTTTTTTGCATGTAAATTCTGTAAGTATGCCAAATAGTACAATTTTAGATGTTAAATAATGATTATGTCACCAGAGCAGAAAATTTAGGTTTGATAAGTACTCCATGTATTTTAATTCCCAGCAAAACCACATTTTTACGGCTTCAAATTTCCGAGTAATGTTAACCTCTATTTTCTGCCATTTGTGATATATACATACATGATTTTCCGAATGGTGCATACTGTTTTCCACTTACACCCAAAGCATGCCTGTATTAAAAAATGGAAGAGCCCATAGCTCAGAAGCATACAGAATTGTCAGCTCCAGTGAAAGGGATCTCCAGAAGATGGGTGTGGACTCACTGCTGATTTAAGACTTGCTGCCAGTCAAGTATAGAAAGGATTGCAAAACCCCAGGTGGGACTTGGAAATTTACAACTCATCTCGACTACAGAAATCAGTTCCCTTGGATGTAATGGCAAATTTCGAAAGCAGACTGTGGTATCAACATCCCTGTTGACCTCCCTCCCCAAACCCCATCTTTCCAAGGCGTGGCCAAATGGACAGGAATTTTCCCAAACTGGAATTGGCAATCTCAAGTATAGATAATACTGTACTAGATGAACCAACAAACTGAAGGACTACAAAACGACTTCATATACTCTTCTCCTCCCACCAGCAAACAAGAGCCCTGCAGAGACACCCGCCCCAAAGACGAGGCTATAATAGCCAAGAAACATCTGCAAATCTAGAGTTATTTGTCCCAGCATACAATAAAAGTACTTATGTCCATCAGTAGAGGATTATTTACCCAGCAGATCTTAAAGTGGGGTGAATTTATCCCCTTAATAGACATAAATATTGGGCTTGGAGGTAGGAAATACAAGTTGTATTATCTGCTCAGCAGAATGGGGAAAAATTAGTTGAGGCTCCTGCCCCGCCATTTCCAGGGAAAGGCCTAACCAGATGATACACTGAGAGTTCCATGTTAGTTCCCAGTTTTTAAAAGCCACTTTGAACTAGCATAGTGTAGCGGCTAGAATGTCACACTGGATCTGGAAGACCCTAGTTCAAATCTCCATGTGATCACAGAAGCTCCATTGGGTGACCATGGGCTAGCTACTCATGCTTGGTCTAAACCAGCCGCTCAGGATTGTTGTGAAGATAAAACAGATGGAGAATGATACTGTGAGCTGTTTGGGGTTCCCATTGGAGAGAAGTGGGGACACAATCTGAACAAAACACCTGCCAGACATGTAGGGGCCCAATTCACATCAGGGCTGCCACACTAAGTATGTGTGTGGGGTAAGCTTTCCAAATGGGGCAAATAGTAACTCCTCAGTTCAATGCCAATAAAGGTAACTGAACTGAACTAACTCCTCAGAGCAGGTTTAGATCAGAAAAAGTCATGGGGAAGAGGCTTAACCACCGTTCCCTTCATAATAATGATTGAGATTAAGCCTGTATGTGGCTGGTAAATTACTAAGATTTTATTCGTTCAAGTGGGTAGCCATGTTGATCCGAAGCAGCAGAATGCACACTGAAGAAGTGTGCTCGCACACGAAAGCTTATACCTTGAATTAAACTTTGTTGGTCTTAAAGGTGCCACTGGACACAAACTTTGTTCAAAAGTTTTATCTGTTAGTAATACTGACTGTGCCTATTTGTATTATTTGTAGTTGAGACTTTACTCCTATTACACAATTCTCCTCCTTTTCTAACACAATTTTAATCTATGAGATTTAACTCTCTTGAACTGTATTGTGAACTCGTAATTGTTTAATTTTAAAATAAGAAGTAAAAATAAAAACTGGGAGGCCATTATTTTAATGCCTCTGCATCAGAATATGTTACATTGGTTGCAGTATTCTCCACAAAAACATTAACAGACATTCTCCCAGAGCCCTTGAGGTTGAGCCACTCTGATCCGCAGTGGGCATTCCTAGCGAAGAAAAGCCACCAACTTTGAAAGACAAAACACCTTTAATGGGAAAAGGGAAGCCCCCAGGGCAGCTGTGTGCTGGAAGCTCATGCCTTCACGGCAAATTTCCGAGGGGGGTACAGGCGCTCTTTCCGCTGTTGTTTTTTGGTCTTCAGACCCTCTTCATGCTTGTTCAACCTACGCCGCATGGCACGTGTCTTCTTGGGCCGCAGGTCTAGAGGCTTGTACCTATTTGCAGGAGAGACAGAAGCCAGGCTCAGAAAAGACTGGAATGGCTTTGATGTTTTAGTTTGTCTAAGTAAGCGCAGCACCTTTACATAACAGACATTCCCCATCAGTCCCATCTGTTACTTTATGGCTCTCTACTCCTTCCTTTCCTGTATCTCCTCTCATTGTAAAACTCTAGGCTGCAAATGCATTGGAGGCAAGGATGTACTTCCTGCTCATTTTCAGTATATGAAAAAAAGGGATCCTGCTATGTGACCTAGGGCCGGTGGTGCCAATACTGCTTCATGGCCTCTATGAATGTCAGCCTTGCCCCGAGCCAAGAAGGAGACAGCTCAAGCCCTCTTAACATCTTCCCCACTCCCAAGTCCCTACACTGGCTCTCTTTCCAACTATGTGCCAGCTTTTTAACCAGCTGCCACTCCTTACAAAGGCATACACTGCCCAAAGGGAACTATGTACCTGCGGGAAAACTGCTCAGACCAGCTGGTCCAGCGAAAGCCACCCGGCAGGGGAATGCTTTAGCAAGAGCAGATTCACACTGCATCCATGGGGTTGTGAGCAGTGTTGGGTGTTAGCCTTGCAGAATTTTTTTAAAGCTGCCCTCTCCTGCAGTTATCCATACCTGTCTGTAACCTACCCAATTTAAGGTGCTCTGGGATTTTTTTAAAAATAAAGACCACTGGATCAGCTCTGTGCTTGTTTACCTTCAAGAATATTACATTTTGCCCTGACCTGGAAGCCAAGCAGGGCCGACCCTGGCAACTATTTGGTTGGGAGACCTCCAGAGAATACCAGGGCCAGGAGGCCAGAGGCGAGCTATCAAGCCATTCCTCCATACCCCAGTAGGAGTCACCAGAGGCCACCATGACTTCCAGGTACGGACGGACACACACGAAAAAATACCCTCCCCAGAATATTACATTTTTACATGCTGCTAAGTGGATGCTGATGACCTGCTCGGGCTCTGCCGTTGTTTCACTCAAATCAATTGCTAGAGATGGGCAGAAGGCAGACGTTGGTTCAAACTTACTTTATAGAACTTCCTGAGGTTTTCCTTCTGGGTCTGGTTAATGACTGTCAGTACTCTGGCGATGGATTTGCGCACAACCCGGCTGCAAAGGGCAAAGAGAGATGGGGCTGAGGAAAACAATAACAGAGGCAGTACCACAAGCTTGGTGGTCCCTTGACACACTGGACACTTTTACTGCCAAAGGACAATTGTGCACTGGCCTCTGACCTGGAAGGACCAGCTTAGCCAGATTCACTGGCTGGCATTTGGGTAAGCCAATAACTCGGCTAAGGCTGTGAAATAATCTGTAGATAGGCAAGTATAATTACACCCCTCTTGCTGTCGAAATAACCATAACAAGGATTATAATGCATTCTATCCATTACATCCTGCGCTAATGATCTTTATCATATTGCAATCATTCCTGAGGGGTAGTTTGCCGCAGCAAAATTTAATGTGGCATGTTAAAGACTTCTTCAGACACCATAATGGTTCCTAACTGCACATTAGAAAGGGGGGGGGGGGGGGGGGGAGAAGCACAGTCAAGAGGTCTGAAAATACAGGGTGACACATCAAATTCCAGCCTTGCCAGGAAGAAATACATGTGTCGGTTATGGTCAAGTAGTTAACTCCTGTAATGGATGGGGAAAGCTGCAATACCACACAGTTACCAGAACAGACTAATCCTGCCTCCTCAGCATAATGCAGGAATTGCCAATGCTGAATGAGACCATTCAGTCCAGCATGCTATCTCCACCAGAGGAGAATCAAACGCTCCAAGAGGCCCACAAGCAAAGCAAGATGGCTTGTCTCAAGCACCTGGTCGTTAGAGACTGAACAGCTTTCAATACTGGAGAATGAATTAAACAGACCTAAGAACACCATACTGGAAGAAAGCCCCACAGAGGAGACCTGCTTAGGACTGTTCTCCTGCTGTCCAGAAAACCCAGCTAAAATATTTTTTTAAAAAAAATAGCATAGAAACCAGCACTCCTATTCCATTCTCCGCACTCACTGCTCTTGGAAGCTGCCATGCCCTTTATGTTCCCTGTGGGCACCTGTGCAGCATCACAAAAGCAGGGCAGCCGAGGTCATGTGCAAAGCTCTGCAAGGAGCACGTGAGAAGGAACCAGCAGTAATGAAAGCAGCTTGCAACTCTAAAGGTGCCAAATGTCAACACCAGACACCCAAATCCCAAGAGCAAAGCTATGGAGGAGACTCACATCTTGGAGAGTTTGGAGGCTGCTCCTCCAGTGACCTTGGCCACACGTAGCTGGGACAATTCTACTTTGAGATCCTCCAACTGCTTCAACAGCTCTTCCTTCTTTTTCCCTCGTAAATCACGGGCCTTGATCTTTGCCTAGGAACAAAAGAACATACAGAATCAGGATGCAAAATGCAGGCCAAAAAATTGAATTCTCCTTCATTGCTCTGACTTTTGCTTACAGCTATATAGCACCTTCTCATTTTATCAACTCATTACCAAAGCCTTGGTAGCTGCCCTAATAGCCCAGACTAGTGTAAGTAAGTAAGTAAATTTATTAGTTATTGACCAGTACACAGTAAAAGAAGTAAAACCCCAACACTTAAAATATTTCTGTTTCCTATACAGGAATATAATATTTGTAAAATACATAAATAAACCACTAATAACCTAAAATATTAAATGACATAACTTAAATTACTTATAAAACAATCTCTAAAATATCAACTAGCATGACTTATCCATATTTTCCTCAGCTTAATTGCCAGCCAACCATACTTAGCAATATTGAAGGTGACATCTCTGTTTCTATCAGCGAGCATTTTCTTGAGGAGACTTTTTTGATCTTTCCCTGGGAAACTAGAAATTACTGGTACTACCAATGCCTCCCAAATCTGTTTATTGATTTTACAGTCAAAAATTACATGGCTTAATGTCTCGACTAGTGTGATCTTGTCAGAGAAGAAGAAAAAGAAGAGATTGTATTTATACTCTGCCCTTCACTCAGAGCCTCAGGGTGGCTTACAATATCCTTTCCCTTCCCACAACAGACACTCTGAGAGGTAGGTGGACCTGAGAGAGCGCTGAGAGAACTGCTCTTGCAAGAACAGCTCTGAGAGAACTGTGGCTCGCCCAAGGTCACCCAGCAGCTGCATGTGGAGGAGTGGGGAATCAAACCCAGGTCTCCCAGATTAGAGCCTGCGCTCTTAGTCACTACACCAAACTGGCTTGGAAGCTAAGCAGGGTTACTTCTTGGATGGGATAACACCAAGGAAGACAGGGGCTGCTATGCAGAGGAAGGCAACGGCAAACCACCTCTGCTCATTTCTTGCCTTGAAAGTGCCATGAAGTGGAACGTCATGGGGTTGCCATGAGTCTACTGAGACCTGACAGTGCTATCAAAGACTAGGAATAACCTGCACTGCATATTTTTAAAGTGTTCTTTAAAACGCACACAGCTCTGCAGCCACATGTGTCAGAAATGCATTTAGCCCCAAAATGCTGTACTGTTTGTTGAGCTGGTGGCAATTCAGCAGGTTCAGTTTCACTTCTATACATTAAAGCCTCAACCCACTACTGAATTTTGCAATCACAAACTTGCACGGATTCAGAGTTTTCATCAACCCAGGATTGTAAGACGCTTCAAAATAGTTCCTGCTACAGAAACCAAGGGCACAGGACACCCAGACCCAGTGACCTTCCCAAAGAATCTGGAATAGGAAAAGGTACCCAGGGAAGCTTCCTGCACTCCTTTAACCTAGTGTCATCTGTGCACCTTTTAGCTACACCGGGTAGGACTTCAATCTGTCTCCCTCTTGACAAGATCATCTACTTGATGAAACTCCTTTGGGTAGTGAAGGGCAGGGTATAAATCTAATCTCTTCTCTTCTTCTACTGTGATAGAAATCCGAGAACACCTGCCCTGATCTATAATGCTTTATTTCCCCAAGAGTGCACCCCAACACCACTTCCTGTTTTGTTGCATTCAGTCACATGAAATACGGAAATAAAATTATTTCACATTCTATTGAGCGTGTACAGGTACATTTTGTATTGTCACACTGCCCTCAACCTATTCCCTCACAAAAACTAGCACTGGATGACTCTAAAGATCCATCTAGCCTACCACTCTGTGTCCTGCAATAACCAGACAGGTCCTGGGAAGTTCACTGGCACAAAAAGATGTAGATGACCTTCCCAAAATCTCAGCTCTCAGATGTACTATCCCTGTGCACAGAGGCTCCATTTAATGATTACTGTTAACAGACTTACCCACCATCAACTTGTACCATTCCATCTGTACTGGGGACAGTGCCACCACCTTTGGACTCCCCTTCTGTTGTTTCCCCCCTTTCCCAACCAAAGCCTAGCCCAACCCAAACACACTCCTTCCTTATCAAGCCCTCATTAATGGCAGATTTCCAGAAGACATTCTTTCAGGACTACACACACTTGAAAAAATACAATACAAACAAGTGGGGGACAAACACATATCATGCACATGTAAGCATAGTTAACACATAACCATACATCACCTGCACACAGCCTCTTACTGTGCAACCTTACATAGAGTGGCCTTGGTTCAGCAACAAAACTACTGCTTGGCATGTAGAAGGCCCCTGGTTCAAGTCCTGACATCTCTAGTTAGACTACTGACCCTGATGGACCCCATGGTCTGATTCAGTATAAGGCAGCTCCATTTGTTCTAAGTCCCTTGAGTAGTTCTACATACATTACCATGGCAGGGTCTCAGTTAATTACTCTCAGTATTCCATATTTGATACATCTGCTCATCAATCTCCAATTCTGACATCTCTATTTCTTTCACTCTGTTTCTCCCCCCGGAATTAAACCCAAACAAATGGTAACCTAAGCTTGTTATTCCTGTTTGGTTCTTGCATCTGTTAAATATCTTCATTATGCTGTATGCTAATTTGCTGCCCACCCTCTACCTATATGTATGGACTGGTAACTTCCATTTCATTGTACCTGAAGTAGTGTGTGTGCAAAGGAAAGCCTATACCTTGAATAAAACTTGGCTGGTCTTAAAGGTGCCACTGGTCTCAAACTTTGTTCTGCTGTTTCAGACCAACGTGGCTACCCACCTAATTGGTACTTCTTAATTGCTTTTATTTAATGAATGAACATTCAAAGCATTCTGTTGCTGGTTTTGATCTGAATGACACACAGAGCAGAAGTTTCTTTGCTAAATACCTGAAGCAAATGTTTACTTTATTTAAAACATTTTATGCTGCCTTTCCACCCAAATCAAGGTTTACAAGACGGCAAGCATGAAAACATTTTATACATCTAACCAATTAAAAATGCAGTTAAGATTATAAAATTCAATTAAAAACACATAAACAACACTACGAGGGCCGATATGTTTGACTAGGAGATGATTAAGTGCAAAAACAATCTGAGGGGGCATGCAAACGTCATCATGGGCTGTTAATCTCCGAGGATCCATCCACACATACACATCGAAGTCACCAAGTGCTCCATCAAATTAGGGAGATGCACAGGGTGCCTCACCCCAAACGGTAGAGAAACGAAGTTGGCTGTTGTATTACATTCGGTTCTAACAGCACACCCAGCTTTGTCCCTATATAACAAGCTAAAATACTTTCAGATAGCACTTCTTACAGCCTTCCCTTAACAAGTAATTCCAGCCCAACCCTTTCAAGGCCTAAAGCCGAAACCAGCAACTCAATATTGTAACTTGGAGACTTTCCCTGGCGCCCCTTCCCTCAGCCAAAGCCGGGCTGTTTCTCTCCCAACCCCTAAACCTGCCCCGGTGCGGCCTACTTTACCCGCCACCCACTTCTCAATGATCCTCTCGCCACGACCCCTCATTGAGCGCGGCCTCAGTTCTCCGAGCCTCCCTCGCCCGAACCCGTCCACGCTCATAACACAAAAGCCCCTTCCCGCGGCCGATGAACCCGGATTACACTGCTTCCCCGGGCCTCACACTCACCATGGCACCGGCGAAGAATCAGCGCCACAGAGCAAAAGGAAAGGACGGAAGCTGGGAAGGAACAGGAAACCAGAGGGTGGGAGCGATCAAAGAGAGCGCAGGGCGGGGGAAACGAAGAGTTCAACATCGAGAGACTCCTTTCTCCTCCCCCAGAGTCATAATGGTTTAGCCCATAAAACGGGGCGGTGCCTGGAGCTGAGCGCGACGGTGTTTGCTAGATCGAGATGGGTAGCTGTGTTTGCGGCAGTAAAAAAGAGCAAGGCTCCAGTAGTACCTTAAAAGCCAACAGAAATTGTGGCAGGGTATGCGCTTTCGTGAGTCACTGCTCACTTCTTCAGCTACGCATTCTAGCTGTATCTGAAGAAGTCTTCGTTGGGAAATCGCGTGCTGAGCAATACAATAAGCGAATCATTCAGTAACAGTGATAAAGTAGCGCGATTAAATAAACGAAATGCAAATTAAATGCATGCTGGACTGCATCTTGGAAATAGCGTTATATCTATAATTGTTGGCTTTTAAAACGTACATAATTATAATTATTCCAGGAACAGTGTACCGTACCCGAAACTTCGTTTATACATGCGGCAGAGTGAACGAGGAATCCTGAGCAAGTCAGATTGGAAGTAAAAAAGCCTATAATATTCAGTGGGGCTTACTCCCAGGAAAGTGAGGTGATAGAATCCTGAAGTGATCAAATGGACCAGACCATTGCAAGTGGTTGATTCTAGTTTAAATGTCACTTGGTGTATATGTGTGTGTATATATATTTATATAATTGGCACAGCAAACAGAGTAGTTCTGCTGCCCCTTCCTTGTCTACTGTGCTGGTTTCTCTGTTTGGAGCAAGTTTTTAATGTAGGGGCGTATGCTGGATGGAATACCACCAGCCGCATTCTGTACAGTCCATTTTACCATTCTGTTCTCTTGAATGTATGAACTGTGCCTCATAGACTTTGGATTAAAGAAATAAAAACAGGCATTGAGGGATGCCACTTTCCACGTGGGGCCTGGAGATCTCCCGGAATTACAACTAATATCTCCAGACTGCAGAGATAATTTTCCCTAGAGAAAATAGCTGCTTTGGAAGGTGGACTCCATGGCGTTATACCCCACTGAGGTCCCTCCCCCAAACCTTGCCCTCCTGAAGATCCACCCCTAACTCTCCAGGAAGTTCCCAACCTGGAACTGGCAATCTTCTTATGGTTTGTGAAGTTTGTGGATTGCACAAGCGTTTTTCTATGGTTGCCATTTAGCTGTGGAACGACCTCCCCAGAGCATTTTGTCTGGCTTTTTAGCATTTAGGTGCCACCTGAAAACCTGTCAAAGAAGGTTATTCAATCAAATGCAGACTAAAATACAATACAGGTAACTGAAACTCTCAAATGTTCTACAAAAAGCCCAGATAAAAGCAAAGCCAATGGTTCCATCAACTGCATTAACCCTCATTCAGCCAAATGCCTGCTGAACAAGGTCTCTGCAGCCTTCAGAAGGTGCAGCCTTCAGGAGAACGAATTAGTCTCCCATGGAAGCAGTGCAAAGAGAGCCTCATTCCTTTGTCACCCTCAGCCTCTGAAGGGTAAGGCACCTGAAGTATGGATCTTGTATGGTATTGGGGGAGGGGCATAGAATGCACTTCCTACTGAGTCAGGCCCTGTCTTCCTCTAGCCCAGTATTCTCTACTTCAGCCAGTGGCTCTTTGCAGTCTCAAGCAGGTGTCCTGCTACCTGACACCTTTTTAAATGATGACCAAAGTAGATTGTGAAAGTGATTGCTTGAACCTGACCAAGTGGGCATCAACACTGCAAATAAGGTTCAGTGTGAGTAAGTGTAAAGTGATGCACCCTGGGGAAAAACAAAAAATCTGAACTTCATATATTTACACTGAAGGGATGTGAACCAACAATGACTGGCTAGGAAAGGTCTCTTCTGGATAGTTCAATAAAAATATCAGTATGTGGCAGCAGTGAAAAGATGAATTCCATGCTAGGATAATTATGAAGGGGACTGAAAATAAAGCAACCAGATGTCCTCATATAGATCCGTCATTTCACTCCATTTCAAAAAGGATAGTGTAAGGCAGGAAAGCATGAAGAAAAGGGCAAAAAAAAAAAAAGATTTTGCTCTTCACTTATAATTCCCAATAAACAAAAGGGTGTGGGGCTTTCTGGTTTATATTTTTAAAAGTCTAAAGCAGAGAACACGATAGATATTTGTGAGTGGATCAAAACAGATGTTTCTTTCTTTTGTGTGACACGGGCTGTGATCCTAAGAACACTTTCCTGGAAGTAAGTCCCCACTGAATAAAATGGGACTTCCTTCTGAGTATACCTGTTGGGGATTGCTCCCACAAGATCTCAAAGTCATTCTCTGCAGAGGAATGGCATTAAGCAGGGCAGCCAGTGTTCTGGGTACGGTGTTTTACTAGACCTGAGGAGACTTGGGTTCACATCCCATCCCCTCAGCCATGACACTTGCTATGTGTTCCTTGAGGCCTTTGGCTTCTACTACCTTGCAAGAGCTATTGTGAGGACAGAACAAGGGAGGGAAGACCTTTCTGAGCTTTTTGGTAGGATGGTGGAATAAAAATGTCACAGACAGAAAGGGGCATCTTGCTGGAAACTGAATTCTGTACTGTTTGTATACTGGGGCGCCATTTTGGGTTTCCTTGGTTCAGGCTGCCCTAAGGGGAGAGTAGGAATACAAAAATCCAGAGGCCCAGGTTAACTTGGGGGTAGGGATGCCAGCTTCCAAGTGGGCCTGGGGTTGGATGCTTTGGAAGGTTGACTCTGTGGCATCGTACTCCACTGAGGTCCCTGTCCTCTCCAGGCTTCCCCTGCAAATCTCCAGGGGTTTTCCAACCTGGAGCTGGCAACCCTACGCCCCTTGTATTCTGTCGGTGGTAGGGTTGCCAGATCCAGGTTGGGAAACTCCTGGAGGTTTGGGGGTGGGGCCTGGGGAGAACAGGTTGATCAGTGGAGTACAATGCCACAGAGTCCACCCTCCAAAGCATCCATTTTCTCCAGGGGAACTGATCTTTGTAGTCTGGAGATGAGCTGTAATTCTGGGGGAATCCCCAGGTCCCACCTGGAGGTTGGCATCCCTAGCTGGTGGCCAGGCAGGACCTGGCAACTCTGCTTGTGTAGGGAACCGGGCAAAGTGCTGATGGAAGATTATGTCAGCATACTTGTTTTGATCTAACATCTTGTTTGTGGTCCTGAATGGGAGGTGGACCCAAATGTGGTGTGTAGGACAGGGGCCCAGAGGGAATCTTTGGCACTGGTGTCTCACAGTAGCTCTGGAGAGGAATGGCAAAGAGATTCCAATTGAGGTAATACAGTGTTATATATGCCTCTCTCCCCTAAGTAGTGACATTTTCCATTTGCCTGGGTTGGTTCTGTTTAGAGGCGGAAGGAGCACTGGGCATTGACAGTGTTTTCATAGTATTTGTTTTATTTACGGATGTATAAGGAGAGCACACAGAAGCATGGCTACAGGGCAGCATTTATTCCACTTCTCCACATCAGATCCTCAGAGAGAAAGAGATGCTGGATCCTCCAAGGCGTTTCTGCAAGCTCACAGAAATGGCTTTCTCCATCTGTGTCCTGTTCAGCCTCAGAGCTGCCATTTTTTTAAAACTTCCTGTCTCCCCCTTTATCTGGGCAGGAAGCTTACCTCTTCCAATCATTTGAACAAAACCATTTCCCAACACTCAAGGCCCATTAAGGGAGGATCTACAACGGCTGACACAGTCATGTAGGATATAGGCTGAACTGCAATGATCAGAGGCCTAACCTGTAGCTGTATAAATGTGGTTCTGTAACATGGTCTTGGGTGTATTATCTAATAAACTGCAAGCAAAATAGTCTTGTGTTTTATACCTTGCCAGAATTAGAGATATGGGTGTGTCTTGAACAAAAATGCCGAGCTGATTATTTTCTTTGTATTTGTTGAGTTTCTAGATCAGTGGTTCTTAACCTTTAATTCACTGCTGCCCACCAGGTAAGCCAAACAATAGGGACCCCAAGCGTATGAAATATACAGAGATGAAAAATGCAAGGGTAGACCATCAAAGCATTCACAAATTTCACAAGTTACCATTAGACAATAGTCTATTGCAACATAACCACAGTAAAACAATTAATAGAGTAGAATTAGTGGTCACAATTCCAAAACACTAGTAACAATACAAAGAATAGATGACAAAATTTGGTATAACAATTCAGTAGTGAAGAAAGAATCCAACAGGCGACTCCTCTATATCCTTTCAGTATAATAGTGTCCTAAAGACCTCAAAGTCCACAAAAAAGGCAGAGGATGTCCCAAAGATAAATCTGCAGCCAAAAATACTCAAGACTCTGATTCATGCCAGCTACCCATCAGGTACACGGCATTATCATCAGATGCTTCCCCCCTCCCAGCCACAAATAAAAAGTTAGGACACTGTGATGGACAGCTAATTGTAGGTGCTTTATACCTACCTGAAAATACTGATTGACAGAGGATTCAGGAAGAATTCTACTGTTTACCTGAGGGATTTCTGTCAAGAATGTCAGTTAGGAAGGAAAGGTGGGGGGAGGTAGAAAGGTGAATAAAGGATATTGGAGCATCCTGAAATAGGGAAAGGGAACCAGTAGTCCTTCCCTGAGGAAAATAGCTCCTAAGAAAGAGGGGTGATTCCTATTAAGTGTTAACAATGGCAAATGGGAACCTATGCATATATTCCTGCCTCTACAGACTTTAGCAATTTTGTGTCAACTAAGTTTGTGCCTGTCTAAGTAGCCCCAGCGAAGTGATTTCTCTCAAGTGTTGCAAACACCTGTTTGTAGAACAAAACTGCTACATTTTCCCAATAAACTGTCTATTGCATATAGTGTCCCTCATTCCTGTTGCCTTTCACCTGCCAAACTTAAACCTGAAACCTCCCTGACAGTCTGACTTGATCATTTTCCCGTGGGGGTGAAATGAAACAGTTTATGTGTTGTGAATTCATCTCAGCCCCTCGGGTGCTGTATTCACACATATACCAATGAAGGGTTTTCAGTTCCTCCACATCCTAGTCCGGGTCATAAAATATACATTTTAACATTTGGGTAAGGGGGGGGGGGGAGCTACTTGGCAACATGAAAAGGGCGGGGGCATTATAGACATAAAAACAGCATTCCAGATAAGGCAATTTTATTTATTTAGGCATATTTGGGATATAAGTGTATGATACACAGATGTGAAACTTAAGTTCAATGAGATTTTTGTACCTTATGGCCATCAGCCAACTCCTGAACATTAGGTTTGATTCCTATTTGCTGTGTGCCATGTTTTTAAGGGTCTGCGGGAGAAATTTAGGATCTGGGAATTTATCTTCAATGTTTTGTATTGACCTATTCTGCATAATCCACCCTTGAGGCCAAGAGAGAAAGGCAGAATATAAATAATATAAATGAATAAATAAATACGAGGTGAGCAGTACAAAGCAGCTCCCCCCCTCAGGCTGTCAAAAAGGGGATTAGACGGATGCACAAAGGGCCATGATGATGAAATGAAATTGCCACACCCAGAGATAATCAGCCTCTGAATACTAGCACCAGGAGGCAACAACAGGTGCAAGTCTTGGCCTCTGTGCCTTGTTTGTTGGACCTCCAGGACAACTGGTTGGTCCCTGTGTGAAACAGGATGCTGGACTAGATGGACAACTTGTATGAGACAGCAAAGCACCTCTCACGTTCTTAAGCCATTCTGAGGAGAAGGGGCAGCTGAAAATCTTGAATGGCTGCCCCATTTCCCCTCAAAGTTCTGAATAGCTGCTCCTTGTAGATTTCTCCATTGGGAGGGACATAACCCTGGTTAAAAGTCACAGTCTAGATTCTATAGGTGCTCAACAAGTAGTCAATAATTAAAATCAAATACACCCCTCTCACTTGGACCAGCCTAAAATGGGGCCCACCATCTTATCTTCAAGGGTGGGGCAGCCAGATCTCTTTGGGAGACTTACAGACAAGGGCAGAGAGACTGCAGCAACCTGCTGTTTGTCCCCAACACTTGGAAATGGAAAAACAGATTCATTATGAACCATAAGTTGCTAGTGAGTCCTGGCTCAAATTCCATTAACAGTGGGCAGTTAAAAATCTTGGGTGACAATTACTGCACTGGCAATAAGCACTGCTTGGTGCAGTTTTTATTTTTGTGAGCATGCCTGTTTGTTTATCCAATAGAAAGTCGGACTATGATTTGAGTGAACGAATGGATGAACAATTACATTAATTGTACATTCAACAATAATAATAACAATACAGTAATTACATTTAACGCTAATAATAATTACAGATGAACAAGAGATCGGCTTACGGCCACGCAAAGGCAGCTCGGGGACCAGGTAGTCAGTCAATCAATCAATCAATTCAAGACCCCCTGGGAAGACAGAGCTCCCCCCCCCCCCTCATTTCGACGCAGGTAGGCTGCAGCTCCCTTGCAACGCTACACTCTGCCCTGAAGGTGGCGCTCGCCCCCGCTCCGCCTCTGGGGGAAACTGACTGGGATCCACCGGAGGGCAGACAAACAGACAGTGAATTCAGCCAATCGAGAGGCACCATAGGCTTCCCCTCGGATGAGCTAGACCAATCGAAGCGCCAAGGAGGTGGGCTGAGCGATGCCTTGCCCAGGTTAGGCTGAGGCGTCTCTCTTCCCTCCCTCTGGGGGGGGGGGGGGGGGGGGGGGGGGGCTGCGAAGGACCGGCGACAGGAGAGAGTTGGGGTGGAAGTCCATGGTGAGAGTGGGGTCGAAGGGGGGCTTGTAGGGGGCGGAGGAATGTCTGTCGGGGGAGTGGGGTGGCGGTTGTCCTGGGGACTCGGTATGGGGGGGGGCGCGTGGGGTAATTGGGGGGTAGACTGCGAGGGATGTGAGGTAGGAGAGAATGGGGGTGGAGGGCTGCGGTGGGACTCCGAGGTGTCTTGGCAGTGCTCCTCGTGGGGGGTTATGGGGAGTAGGGCTGGGTGGTTTGGGGGGATTTGTATGGAAGGATGTGGGGGAGACTGGGGGGTGTCAGGGAGTTGGGGGCAGTGGTTATGATGGCTTGGTTGCGGCGGAGGAATGGGCTGGTGTGGTGGTGTTGGGTTGCTGGATGGTATACTGAAGAGTGGAAGCGTTTGGGGTATTGGCCATACGAAAGGCCACGGTTTTAGGGCAGGAGGGAATGGGGTGTAAGAACAGAGATAGTCGGGGCTATGGAAGGTTTAGGGTAGGAGGCGGTGGGGGTAATGGCAAAGGGTATTGTGACTGGATTTGTGGTAGAGAATTAGAAATATAGGCGAGTGGGGCTGAAGGCAACGGGATAGGCTGGCGGTTGCATTGGGAGCTTGTGTACTTAAGTGTGAAAGGGATGGATTGGGGGAATGGAGGATGAAGGGTAACGGGCATTGTGAGAAGTTTGGGGTAGGAAAGAGTTGAATGGAGGAACAGGAGGTGTTTGGAGAGGGGGCAATGTCTAGGGCGCTGGGTTGCCATGGGGATTTAGGATGCAAGGCATGTGGGAAGCTTAGGATAGGTAATGTTGAGGGTTTGTAGGATGAGGGGGTTGGGGCTAGTGGCATTGTTAGGGGTTTGAGGTATGGGAATAGGGCAGCAGTGAATGACTGCTTGTGGGTCGCCCTGTGGGAATATGTCTGCTGAAGTATTGAGGAGCTGGGATGTGGGGTTTGGGGGAGTTTGAATGAAGATGTTGTAGGAGAATGGAGGCGCTGAAGGAGGAGCATGGGAGTTGGGTTCCTGTGAGGGGTTGGAGATTGCCTTGAGAGCTGAAGCTTTGTCAGAATGTGTGATATCTGGAGGAGGATGAATAGTAGTAGAAATACAGGGCCAGTAAAGTACATTGCACTTTATAAGACGGCATGAGTGAAAAAAGAGAGGTCTCTGTCTTGAGGAGTGTACAGTTTGAAGTTTGTCAGTTGAGATATGATGGACAGGTACCAGGGCAATAAGACACAAATATGAGTAAGTGCAGTTTGCTTGGAGCTGTTTCCTTTTGAACCATAAGGGAGCTGGAATTACAGGAAATTTTGGAGCACCCAGTAGATTTGGAGATTGCCCCATCCTCTCCCCCTCAAGGAGTCAAGGGGGTCTGCAGTTGGGTTATAATGAGGCTGGGCTTGGAAATTCACTGTAGAGACTCGAGGCTTGTATCATTGCCCCTATAGTAGTAAACATGCTTGTGGTACGTGGATTTAAATGTAGAGAGGTGTGTGTCTGTGATTTTTTTTTTGGGGGGGGGCAGGCAGAAAACAGACATGCCAGGGTAAAATGGTTTGCAGTTGGTGGCAGTTAGAGGAGAGAAAGTTAAGAACAGGTGAAGGGTTTGGAGTAATGGGTTCAGGTGTTGGAATTTATGTAAGTTGACGTGTGAGATCATGGCACAAGAGCGTATTGTGTATAGAATGGAGTGATCTTCTAGATGTGGTTTGGGTAGGATTTGTAAGACAAACTGTTGACACAGTAGGTGTTTCAGGTTTGGAGGGTGATGCGGGGGTTTGTAGCTCTAGAGGAGAATGTGAGACATGGGTTTATTGGCACTGAAAGGGTTTAATGTGGCTATGGAGGATATAACTTTTGGTGTCAGGCTTGCTGGCTGTAGAATGTGACTATCCTTGGGTGAGGAGCTGGTGATAATGTGTTGTGGAAGGGGATGCTGAGGTACCATGGTGTGCTAGGTGTAGAGAAAATGACATGGGGAGTAGACAAGAGCAATAATCTATAGGGTCAAAGAGTATAGTTTTGGAGTATAGTTAAGATCAGCAGAATGTTTAAAAAACAAATAAGAATCTTTTAAGTTTAACAAGATTTCATTCCGGCATATGTTTTTGTGGACTGCAGCCCACTTCAGAAATTATGAGTTGATCCTTGCTATGTAGGCATTTTATGTAGAGGTTTGAGGAAAATATATTGGGGTCATGGAGCCATAAAATGCCAGAAGTACAGAATTAAGTGTAATATGTCAAACTCTAATTAGGAGAAGTAAATTGTTTGGCTAAACTGGTTAACATGGATAATGTTAGTGATTTTGTTAAGGTAAAAACCTTGTTCAGTGCTTCCCGGAGGGAGTGCTGAAATTCCTAATAAATCCCAGTTTGGCTATTTAATCCATTGGGGTCTTTGGTTTCTGACCTAAGTCACCATCCATCTGCAAAAGTTCAAAGGGAGGCTCCAGCATGAAACTGTTAACATTGGGATCCACTAGCGGATGCTACCTGCTGGGTTGAATTGGGACTTGGAATTTTTATCTCACTACAACAGTGACTACCTTAACAAAATATGTAATTCCCCACCCGTTATATGTGTTAAGTAGCTTAGTGTAATTAGTGAATGCTTTCCATTTTAGATTTGAATTTTACATAATTACACTTCACACTGTACTCTACTATTCTTTTCCTTAAACTCCTCTACATAAATTGACTGCATAGTGAGGATTGACTTATAGCATCTCAAGACGCAGGGTTCACATAGTCCTTGAAAGTTTATGCTGGAATAAAATGGTTAGTCTTTAAAGTGCAAAAGATTTTGTTGTTGTTGTTGAAATAGACTAACACTGCTATTACTTTGTGATGGTGTAGTCCCTCTCAGTTTAGTTCTGTTGCCTAATGGGATTCAGGAGCATGCTTGTGAGGGAAGAGGGGTTTCTTAGTGGGAGGTCGCTGCAAAAGAGGACAGCATTGTGGGTTGGGAGAACATATTTCAAATGGGGTAATGGGAGACAGAGACGTCATAGGAGGTTGTGGCCAAATAACATAGATCAAAATCGGACTCAGTCCAAAGGCATAAGGGAGGCTGCTCCTAGTATGGAAGAAGGGTAGATTCTGTGTGCAGTTAGTTTATCCTTTGATTGTGTAATGTGTAGGGCTAATATGATTGTGAATGAAGGACATCCAGTATATTCTAGCTTCCATACTGGCTTGATTTCTTGAAGCTGGAATGGCCTTTGCTGTGGTCATTGCTCCTTAGGAAACCTTTGGGAGCAAACGTACTGTCAAATATATGGAATTTGTGGAGGTTCCCAGTGATGTGTTGTCTTGGGTGGAGAGGGATTGTCATCCTTACTTGTCCCTGTAGCCCTCTGTCATTGCCTTCTCTCTTCCCTCCCTCCTCTCCAGAACCACAGGCCTGGCAGAGAAGCCACCTCGCAGAAGAAGAAACAGGTAAGAGGATGGGTCTTTTCCAGTCACTTTCCCCATGAGTGGAGGTGAATTCAGTGGGCTTTCTAACATGGTTCTTCTCTTCCCATCTTGTTTTGCTTATCTCCCTCCTCCCCGTTGCTGCAGCAATAGTTCCATGTCTGTATTGTGATCTCCCAGATTTGGGAAAATGGGGGTGGGGTAGAGGTGTACAGAAATGACATTTGGGCCTCAATGTGGTGGAGGAAAAGGTTTTTGTTGTGTTCTTGTCCTCTTCTGTTCTTGGAGAGGACAAGGGTAGATTGGAGGCAGGAGCTAGGTTTCTCAGTGGTTAATTGTGAGAGGAACCTCGAAAATGGAGTGTAAGCTGCAAACAGAGGAATGATATGCCTAGTGCTGCGTACAGAAAGATGGAGACTTCCCCCTTCCATTGATTCAGAAGAAATCACTGAAGAGAGAGCAGTGTGCTTTCTTGGCCTAATGCTAGATAAAAGAAATCATGAGGGAATCTGTTGCTTAGAGCTTTGTACATGCATTTCTGTGGTTCTCCCTGTCTGTTCAGGCACAGGAACCTCATCTGAAAATGCACACTGCAGTTGTATTCTCCCCCCTATGCTCTGCAGCTGCACTTCCTGTTGGCTTCCTTTTCCTTACTCCAAGGTTTAAATTTTGAGCTGGAGGATTGCTCCCGTGTGTGTAGTGAGGATTATTCCACAGGTTTATCTGCTTCACAGCAGAAGTCACTATTCCCCCATCTCTTTAATATATACATAAACAGTCCATAGTGTGTTGGAGGCTGAGTGTTGCAGGGTGTCTCCCCCCCCCCTTTTTTTGTCTACCGCTGGAAGACCTACCTTCCTCCCCAGTTGCTGAAATGACATCAGCTCCTTGTGCGTGTGAATAGACATTGCCTATGTGAGTGCTCTCAGCCGTGGTAAACTGGCTATGCTTGCAGATCTGCCCTTTCACTGGGGCTGGATTGCAAAGGGAAACTCAAATAAGCAAGGTGTCCGTGGGCAGCTGTTGAGAATACTGTGTGTGATGATGGCAAGTGATGGGGGGTGGGGGAGTGGTTTGTGCCATTATGAATGGGGGGAGGGGGTACAGCCTGTTGTGCTATGTACAGGATGAAAAGGCTCGAGAGAGTTCAGCTTGTGCAAGCATTTTCTCTTCATCCGGTGTCTGCTGCTTGTTGGAAACACTTTCTTTTTTTCATTTCTGTTCTTAGAGTGCTCTGCTAATCACAAGGAGCTCTGAAAAGCTAGCCTAATTTTCCCACCCTCCTCACAGTGGATAGGATGTCTTGGAGGAGGGGGTGAGAGCGCTACAGAGCTGCTGGGGAGTAAGAAAAGCTACTGATGCATGCAGAAAAGTGGCTTTTGAAGGCTTTATTATTAAGCAAATCCATCACATGGGTTCCTGGCTGCTGCCTACCTTTGCCTCGATGGCTTTGTAAATTCTACAAGTGGCTCAGGTTTTTGTGGAGTGTTTGCTGTGTAACATTGTTGGCATCTTTCCAGGACTGTCAGAATGTCAGACTGAAAATTCCCTTTGGGCAGTATTATCCTGATTATTGTCTGTTAGGAAGGGTCGAGGGAGTAAGTACACTGTTCTGGTGCTCCGGTGCCTGAGCTTAGCTTCTTGTAGCTCTGCAGGTACAATCTGAGATGTTGGTTTCTGTCTGTAAAGGTTTAGCACTAGAGTATATATGAGAGTACCACCATCTCATAATTCATTGGAGGAATTCCTTTAGATTTGCACAAGGCAATGAAGACAAATGTGTTTTCTAGGGTTGCCTTATAACAAAGGCAACCCCCCCACACACACACACTGTCAGCATCTAGAGGGCCCACTTAGAGAGGGGGATGGCAGGTGTTACGTTTTATTCAAATGGTCTTCCAGTAAATTTGGTACTGTAGTCACCACCAGTCCACACATTTCTCTTCTTTTGGTCATATAGCCCCATGTGCTTCTTTTACATTGCAGAACTGTTTGCTGAGGAGATGAGAGATTTGTTTTGCTTTCTGCAAGCATGTGTAAGGTTACTAAACAAGATGTCTTACTTGAAGGATTAATACTGAAGGCTGCAATTTTATGTTCTTGTTGGAAAGTGTGTTCTCAATGGGACTGACTTCTAAACAAGTATGAGTAGGATTCAGCAGTAAGCATCTACAGCTTCCCATAATCAAGGGCAGGTATTTAGTAGGCAAAATTGTTTTTCACTATGAAATAAAATGTAAATGTTCATGTTTGACCCTACCAAATGTTCATAATGTGAGAACATATTTTGGAACCTGTGCATGTATTAAACATTGATTTAACCTCCCCCAAGCATCTGGACAATTGTGTAAACTTCAAATGCTCTAATGTAAATAGATCTAAAATGCTGAAAGAGGAAACCAGCCCATTCAGTAAATGCCACTATTGGCATGGTCAAACCAAAGTAGTCCCATAAGTAGCCAAGTAAGATGGTCTTCGTCTCCTGGTTCCTGAACACTAACAGTAAAGGAGTCATGTGAACATTCCACAGTTTTGGTGCCTGAAAAGGTCCTGTCTTGTGTTGCCACCCATCAAACATCAGAAAGCAGGGACACACAGTGCCAATGCTTAATTTCAGAAGTGGGGCGTTTTCTTCACATTCCAAAAAACCCTTTAACTTTGTCCAGCAATAGTTAAATCACAACAGAGTAAGAATGCAGATTTATTTATATTAAATCAAGATTTTATTTTAAACCAGCTTATTTCAGTGACATTGTAATTGAAACTTAAAATACTTTAAGATACTTGTAAAAAACTGATTTTATCAACCCTATTGAGTAACAGGACCTGTTTTTTTCCATATCTGCAACACTTTAGTTGCTGCACTGCACAGCTATTTTTATTTGTATCGACTTTTGGCAGCCTGGACTAATATGGAGGGGTGTGTGTGTAGAATTTTGTTCAGTCATTGACCTCGTGTGAATATATCTTCGCTTCTCTGAGATATTATTATCCACCCCAGGTCCTTAACAAAAAAAAGGAGGCAATTACTAGGGCTAAGGAGTGGGATGCATCCAAATGATCTGATGAGTAACAGATTCTTGGTGGTGCCAAATATTGTAAAACAAAGTCTGTTATCTTTCCTGTCCAGGTATCAGGGGTGGCTAGATGGTGGACTGTGTTTGATCTGGTTTGCAAAGCAGTCTGTCCCACTGCAATTTAAACAGAACATAAATCAAGATGTAGTAAAATATTGCCCCATTTTTCACTCCTGAGGAACAGACAATGTTTGCAAAAGTTGGGAGATTCCACACTTTAATGTTGCATCTCCTTCCAGGTGTTGTATGTCATGCCCTGGCTCTGCCTGAGCACATGTGCTCTGTAACTCTGATCACTTGTGCAACTCAAGCTGCGTGCAACAAAATATACTTCTGGCCTGGAGAATAAAGTTAACTCCCAAGAATGAAGAAGTTGGCCATCTCTCTGCCTTAGGTGCAATAAGGGTAAGAATATTTATTGTAAAAAAAATGCGACATACATGGTCTGAGCTTGCTTTTTTCCCCCAGGGGAGCTGAAGGGATATGTTTGTACTTCATTGTGTTACTGGTAGTTTCTCTGGCAGCTGTCCTCTCCAGAAAGGAGGGAGCGGTTGGCAAAACAGAATTATTCCCTCAATCAATCAGTAAATGAGATGTTTTAGGGACTTTGGAAGTCTGAAGAAAAGTGGCACTTGGGATTTCCCATTCTTAGCTGTTGGGTCCCACTCTCTCTTCCTGTCTTAAATCAGTGATGCACCCTGTTGTAAGTGTGATAAAGTGGCCTCAGTAAGGTGTGGCTTTCATAAAGTGTACAGCTCATAAGTTGTCTACTTCCAGTATTTCTTGAGTGAGATTTCCTATAGCTGTTAAGCAGTGGTGTTCTGCTCTAAATAGAGGTGATGGCCAATTACAAGCAGTTGCTTTATGTAATGCAAGAACAAATTTAAACAGAGTAGAAGGCTGGCATAGAGTTTTCCTAGGCCCCTGGTCAGCAGTTAATTCAGTGAGAGGGTGGTGGGCCAGCCTTTACTTTTTTCTCAAAGTGGATCAACACAGCTTCCCTTGCCTCATCACCTGGAAGCCTTGCTTACTTATTCTGTGTCCCAAAGCTAGTGTCTGTAAGTCTGCACAAGAGACATTTGTATTTGCTTTTGTGGAGAGGGGCAGGGAAGGATCTGTTAAGCAAATCCCAGGACCGCAGCCACCAATCCTCCCTATTCCTATTTTGCCTCTGGGTTGGCAGCTGGAAGGGTGAATTGGTAGACTGAAGAGGATTTCATTTGGCCTTGTTGCCGCTAACTGCTGACTTACTGGCCTACTGCTGATGTTAATAGGGTGAATTGTGATAGAGATGCTTTGAGATCTTAGCCACAACACAGGCAGAGCTACAGCTGGTTAGACATTTGGTGACCTGGAGTGAACCTGATTGTGTAACACTTAGAACTTCCAGACTGCCTTGGCCGTGGCACAAATGACCGAAAACCTGTGTTGCACCTGCCTGCAGGGCTGTATAGTGGTGAGAGAAGCTGTGCTTTGAACAGAGATTAATCTCGTACCATTATGTTCCTCTCTACAATTCTTTCTCTTGCTGCCTTGGGTAAATTGTTGCAAACTGAATGGTATTTGAGTTGAAATATCAAGTTACTCAGTCATTAGGGTCCATTCCTTCCTGCACAACTTGGCCAGAACCACAAGGGATGGGATCAGTGCCTGGCAGAAGTCGGGGGTGGGGGAGAGTCCTGTTAGTCGATCCATCATCAGGGTATGTAGGGGCTGCTGAGGGGAGAGGCCTGGAGGGTAAAAAAAAGCATTCAGGCAAGGAGCTTGCAGGCCTGGTGAATCTGTAGGATATCTTTTGATGATCTACTGAGGAGATATTCCCTTGGATTCCTTTACTTGTGTAATAACATCTTGCTAGGGTCTGGAGCAGAGCTTTTAATTGGCCACACTGGAGGTTTGGAACTGGCTGCTCAGTGACCTGTGAGGAAGGCTTCAGGACTGGAGTAA